TGAGCTCCTTCAGTACATCATTCAAGAGAAACAGCAAGAACTGAAACTTAAACGAGATGAGGATCTTGTACGCCTTGGTATCATACTCATACAAGAAGATGATCGCGGCTGGCAGGGACTCCACAAGCCGAGCTATCACCACACCGCGCGATAGCCAGCGCACGCTGTGGATTCCTTGCAGTTCGAGATTCGTCTCGCAAAGAACCTCCTGCAGCTCCTTGAATCGGCCGTGTTGGTTGCTCGAATGCCCCAGATCTTCCGCAAGCGAGCGGACGACCTTGTCAACGAGTTGCATGTCGGGGACTGCAGTGGCTCCATCCTTTGCGGAGAGGGCTTCCCTGCACATCACAGAAGAACCCGTATTAGTAAGGACGTTCGAGCAGTTAAAAAACACGCAACATAAGCTAATGTTACCTGTGTGCGATGCAATGGCATGAGACGAGGTGTGGAATCTTGGTTCGCAGGCGTGCGACGAGACCGTTCTTCTCGCCAGTCATCACGCTAGCACCGTCTGTGCTGATGCCGGATATGCGATGCAGATCCACCCCAGAGGATTCCAGGTGGGTGATGAGAGTCACTATGAGCGACCCGGCGTCGCCTTTGTCCACCGTCAGATGCGCGAAGAATTCTGTGGTGACCGCGCCATCCCGAAGGAACGTGAAGTAAACGATCATGTGTTTACCCCGTCGCCTGTCGGTACTTTCATCCAGTTGAATGCCGAGGAAGGGTGAGGTGCGGATGTGCTCCATCTGCTTCGCCCTTAGGTAAGTGACAAGAGTCTCAACCATCTGGGCAAAGCCGTACCTGCGCAAAACACATGAAAAAACATGGGTTATTACTCCCGTCAATGCATAAAGGAGTGCAGCAAGACACATGGCGGGGTGGAAGCGAGACACTTACTCAGAGTAGTAAGTTCCGTTCTCCCGCAAAGGCATGTCAGGTGTCCCCTGCTCTGCCATGAATTGCACAAGGGACACAAACATGACAATCGGGGCGTCAGACTTGCATATGTAATTAACAACAGCCAGAAGGCGAATCAAGCGTCTCGCCGCTTCGTCGGTCGTCCCGTATTGTTCCAGGGTCTTTTGAGCGGTCAACTTCGCTTCACGTCGCTCCTTCTGGTTGACTGCTGCCTCGTGCTTGATGGAGTGTTGATGCTTCCGCATCGTCTGCTTCTGGATGTCGTAACCGCCACTCCCATCCCGGCCGTACTTGGAGTTCGGGTCTGCATACGCCAGGCAGGTGGTGCACTTCATCACGGGGCGGCCGTACTTGTCCTCGCCAATAATCAGCCATGGGAAGTACCGCTGCTACTGCTCTTTGCATTTGAGCTGCAGCTCTTCCACGGTCAGCACCTTGGGAAGCTCTGCACTTTTCTTTGTCGGAGGGGACTTAGGTTTCTCGGGGGTCACCGTCGCAGGCGTTGCTGGTAGCGGAGCTGGCCGAGCGAAGGGTAGCTTGCTTTGCATGTACTTCGCTTTGCCAGGCCTTTTAGCAGGCAGGACCGGGTTAGCGTTCCTCGTGCCTTTGGAGGACGAGGGTCCACTGGTCTCCACTGCTGGAGTTCCAGTGCTTGACGGCGGGGGAGAACGTGACAGTTCTCGTTGAGGCGACCACGGTTCGTGGTCCCACTCTTGTGGCAGGGCGGCTGGCGCGGCGGGTTCATTACGCTATAGTACGACTTCCGACGAAACTGGTGCGGGGAGGGGCAGTTTACTAGCGCCTCGCGTCAGGAAATCAAGAGCAGTCAGACGCGGGGCTTCACCCGGAGCGGTTGTAGGAGAATGGCCAGATGGGCCAGGGTTTGATGCCATGACCGTCCGGTTTCGAGAAGTGCAGCAGACACGCAATGCAAAGAGTTGCGGGGACGAGCCTAGGAAAAGGCAGACTGAAGAATGGGACTGGAGCAGGAAGAGGAGAGGAGAGCGGGGGGATGCCATCCATCTTACTCAAGTCGCTCTACTCTGATGGCTTTGGACGGTTGGGGGGAGGGGGAGTTATGCAAGGACAACTTGAAGAGTGGCACCGACTACTAGCTACAAGACACCAGCATGGCAGCGTGAATGTGTGCGCTGGACGGAAAACGCCAAGTACCGAAGGTGGTTCAAGCTGGCATTAGGACCAGGTGGGGCGAATGCGACAGATGTGTGGCAGCTTCTGAGTCAGCTGCCGATACTCGGCAGGGAAACAACAGGCCATGTTGGCGTGTGGGAAAACTTGTTTGTTTCAGACGAAAAAATCCTCGTCCTCTGAATTCTCAGACAAAGTATAAGCCCCAAGTCTGAATTTAAAGATGAACAATATAGGCTTGTCTGACGTTTCATATGACTCATTCCCTGAAGTCTTAAAAATCATACAGATATAAAAAAAACAAGTCTGATTTTCAGACCATCAGACAAATTTTGTCTGATAACCAGAGCCCTGATTACGAACCGTTCTGGCATAATCCTCGCCACTGCTGCTGCCTGATGCTGTCTGCCCTGACGGTCCAGATGCTCCGTAACCGTGCGACCCTTCGCGTCATTCCGTCTCTTCGTCTTCAGCCTCGGTACTGCATGACTCGCTTGCTTTTGTCAGAAGTGCACAGTGTTCTTTCTTAACTCATTGTTCGTAACAGGCATCTGCTATGTGTAGACTCGGTGGATCCCTTCATGGATGCTATCCAGGCTAGACATATATTGGGTATTAAGCGGGTTGGTAAACAAAACTACCTTACCAACGTGGAGTTATGAGCGTGCTAACTCGCTATGGAACAAGCCCTTTTGACTCAATGGTTAGTGACGGAGATTTACCAATATGGTACATGCAACAAATAAGATAAGAATTGATCGTTTCCAAAGCATTTGGTCTCCAGATTTTTTTTTGTTGGCAATGCAAGATACACTATAAGCGCATACAAGCATTAAGAGTCTCAATTGTGTTCTCCATATAACTAGTAAACCATATATTCACATAAAGGTAAAGCATTGATAATGCTGTCTGCCTACCTTATACGAATTTATGTTACTCATAAATTGCTCGTAGATGTTTCCGCGTCAGCCTCCGCCTGCCAGCGGTGCGACTGCGGCACCGCACTCGACGGACACGTCAACACATACCACAGCCCCCTCGCGCTCACTCCTGCGTAGCACAACACTTGCCCCTCGGTTTTCCCCAACCAGTCCCCCGGCCGAGTGGGTTTTAGTTTTTTTGCTGCCCGCGGGCAGCTCGCTTCCGCGAGCACGCGGGGGCGATCCCGCGTTCGCCCGTGTTTTTCCGACAGGGCGCGTATGAACTTTCTGGTTCCCCTCGACTCTGTTGAACTGTGCGCCCGCCTGACGCCTCCCTCAGTCCCGATTCCCGATGTGTGCGCAGTGCGCAACCGACTGAGGTCAGCGTCTCCTCTTGTTATGATTTTCAGCCAACCCAAGAAGCACCAAACTCTCCCGCCACACGCAACCAAATCTGCGCCCACTGCTTCCGCCCACGTTTACCCGCCAAACAGTCGTCCGCGTCGGCTAACCTGCACTGACAATATCTGGGGTGGGGAACCTGCCCACCACATCAACCAGGTCCCAGGAGACCTTGGTGCGAGGTGGAACAAAAGCCCAAAATGTCGGGGCACGTAATTGCCCAATTTGTTCTTGCTGGCAGTCTTTCGGTGCTGGAACACCGAGGTCAGCAAAATTATCGTACAGCCCCGACAAACGAGTCCCGTCCCCTTTTTCCGCACCGACGGAGCTGGTGCAGGGAGAAACCCGTTCCCGCTCTGCACGCCCTCACCCCGCCGTCCCGCCACCAAAGCTGTCTTTCATTCCCGTTCCGCAACCCAATCGCTCCCCCCGCTTCATTCCTTTCTTCCGCACACCATTTCCCCTCCGCCACTCCCCTCCGCTTTCCTGTTCGTGCCTTCATTCATCTCTCTCTCCCCTCCCTTTCTCTTTCCCCTTCCGCCTCGAGTTTTTCTGTCAAGGCGTTTGAGCACTGAAACCCTTGAAGTCGTTGGGGTTGCACAACATTCCGTTTCTCAGTTTCGACCAAAGTTTTTCCAGTGTGCCTTGCTTACTCGTGTTCGACTTAGTCCACATTTCTGCGCGGTGACTTTATTACTGAGAAGTTTCTAGAAGCTTCACCTTCCAACCGGCTTATGTGGCTGAACTATTTCTGTCGATAGCAGCGTATGTCTGGTGCCCAGACAGAGTAGTTCCTTCGGCAGGTACGCGCGAAGCAGCTCTTGTAGTCGTCGTTGTCCCCATCTCAGCGAATTTTGTTTCTCTAGTGTTCCGTGCTTATGGTTATGTGAGATATCTCAGCGTCCTTCAGCGGCGAGCCGGCATTTGCTCCTGCATTTTTAATTCTCGAATTTCCATCTGCCCTTCCCCGCAAGCGTTGACATTTTTCCCTCCCGTTCGCTGCAACGTGCGTCCATTTCCCTCCCGCACAGCCGTCAACCTGACCGCATGGCGAATGGTAGGCATCTCTCGAGCCCAGCCACGCAGCGCTCATCGGCAACCCCTAGACAGAAACCGTCGATAGCAGCCTTCGGCGGAAACTCTGGTAGAAAGCCCGTTGGAAATCGTCAATCGCAGTGTTCCCGTGCATCTGCGAGCACCAGCACGAGCACCACCACCAACAGCACGAACTCTACCAGCAGCGACAGCAGCCAAGAGACTTTTGGCAGGTGTAGAAAGGTCGGCAGAAACGCGCGCGGTTTTGGCGGCGGCGGTGGGGGAGGCGGAAGCACGAGTAGCGGAAGCAGTGCCGTAATGAACCGTGGGAGTCCTCGTGGTCATAGCGCAGCGGGGGGAAAGAAGAAAGCGGGGAGTCAAAGCGGTGTCAGAGGAAAGAGTTCCGTTGGTGGCGGCGGCGGCGGTGGTGGGAGGGGCCGGGGGCTTGGAGGGTCGGTGTGCGGGGGAGGTAGCGAAGATAGCACGGGTGAAAGAGAATTGTTTGATCCGCCGGATGTGCTTGCAACGAAAGTTAAGGAGCTTGCGCGGCTGCTCAAGACTAGTAGATACGCCATGGTGGGTCGGCGTTGTTGCTGTTGTTTTCGAAGTGAGGGACGGAAGGAACGACTGGGTTGTGGAAGCGTGACTGTGGTGGCTGGATTGCAGAGTTGTTGGAGACCGTGAATTGGTGCGGAGGGTGGGTGGGTTGTGTGACATAGATTGTGGGTTCGGTGGCGTGCGTGTGTGTTCGCTGGGGCAGGGTGTGCGACTGTTGTTTTATTTTATTTTCCAGGCGAAACCGGATGGGTAAATCGTGCTGCCGTTTTCCTCTTCCTCCTCACCCATTAAACGCACAAAGGTTACTCCTTATTTGTTCCTAACACGGCGTCGTCACGTGTTTCGATTCCGTTCCCCATTGAAACGCCCCTTTCTGCGCGTCCTCCGTTTGTTCTCCCCCCTTTTCGCCCGTCTCCGCTGTATTTTTCAACGCATGGACCGTCTTCTCCCGGTGCAGGTTTACACCGGCGCGGGTATCTCCACGTCGGCGGGCATTCCGGATTATCGGGGACCGAACGGCGTGTGGACGCTGCGCTCTAAGGGCATTCAAGTCAAAGAGCCGAACTTTCTTCAGGTAAGCCGCCGCCGTCGCCGTCACGGTTGATTTAGCTGTCGACCTAGCTCTGACTCGCACACGTACTTCTCTCACGCGCACGCGCTAACGCGCGAGCCGCCTCGCGCTACCCCTTGCAGTCGTCCTGCTGCTTTCCCCCCCACGTTTTTTCCTTCTCGTTTCGCCACAGTCCCGTGAGAACCTAGGTTCCGGCTCATACTCCGCAAACTCCGCCCGCCGTTGTCCTTCCGCGCGTTTCGCCCGTCGTCGGGTGTCGCTGAAGCTGAAGCTCTTGGATATCACGGCGATGATTAATCTGTGGTTCACCGTCGAAGCAGGCGTGGTGCGCCATTTGTCGTCGCAGAACATCGGCGCGCTGCACGGGAGAAGGGGGAGGGAGGCACATAAGTTTATCGGCACGGGCATACATCTTAGCGCTTGGGGCTTGAGGGAGCTTTCTCACGCCCACATAGTCGGCTCACACACAAAATCTCCCATATCCGCCCAACGCTTCCCCCATCCTTCCCCCTCCCCCCTCCCCCCCCTTTCCCTCTCCCCTCTGCGCTTCCCTCTCCCCCACCCCCCACCGCCCCTTTCCCCGCCCTCCTACCGATTTTCGAACACCCTCTTGCCCCTGGTGTTTTGCGCTCCGGGAGCAGGTGTCTCCGACGCTAAGCCACTTTGCGATCACGGCGATGGTGCAGGCGGGCGTTGTGCGACACGTGGTGTCGCAGAACATCGACGGGCTACACCGGCGATCGGGGCTGCGGTCGCACGAGATCAGCGAGCTGCACGGCAACTTTTGTCGCGAGGTGTGCGCGCGCTGCGGCGCGGAGTTTTTCCGCGGGTACTCGGTGTGGAAGGGGCTCACGACGGCGCGCGGGTCGACGCAGGAGGACGCGAATCGCGCGGCGAAGATCCTGCTGGAGCGCGCGACGGGCGTGGTGGCGGACGGGGGGAGGAGAGAGGGGGAGAAGGGGGAAAAGGGGGAGAAGAGGGAGAAAGGAGAGGGATCTGCGCGGAAGGAGAGCGCACGGGGAGCTGGAGGTCGTGGGGGAAAGGGGGGAGGGAGTGGTAATGCTGTGTTGAAGAAGCGGAAAAGGAGTGAAGACGCGGCGAAGCGGAAGGCGAAGAGAGCGCGAAGCGCAAGAGCGAGGAGATTTGTTGATAGTGAGTCGGAGAGTAGCGAGGACGAGGAAGAGGAGGAGGAGGAGGAGGAGGAGGAGGAACAAGAGTCAGAGGAAGAAGAGGAAGAGGACGAGGAAGAAGAGGAGGAGGAGGAGGATGAGGATGAGGAGGAGTTGCAGTTCGACCATCGGACGGGGAGGATGTGTGAAGTGGAAGGGTGTGGAGGGGAGCTAGAGGATTGCGTCGTGCTGTTCGGAGAGTGCCTTCCCAACGAGGTACTGCTTCCTTCTTTCCCTCAATTTCACTCGCCTTTCCAACCCTCAATTTCGCGTTCTCCCCTTGCTCCCTCCTTTCCCTTCCCCCTCCCCACACAATTCTCGCCCCTCATGCCCCGCGCGCCCCGTCCTTCCCGACTCTCCCAACCCCCGCGCTCCCTCTCTCCCCTCCTTTTCCTCTTGTCAAATGTGCCTTCGCGTATCACGATGCCTGTTTTGCCTCATCGTCCGCCGTTTGGCATGGCTGCATTTGTCTGGTTTTGGTATCTCGCTGCATTCCGACTCGTTTTTCCCCGTTCTTCTCATCTTCGTATCCCCCCATTCCACCTTACCCCTCTCTCCACCCCCCCCTCCCCTTCCTCTCTCCCCTCCCGCACATCCCCTCTTCCCTCCCTCTCCTCCGCCCGCCCCCGATCCCCCTCCCCACCCTACTCCCCGTCCCCAACCCCCCCCCTCTTCCCCCGGCGCTCCGCTTCCAGCCCCTGAAGTCCGCCAAGCGCCACAGCGACCGCGCGGACGTGGCGCTGGTGATGGGGTCGAGTCTGCGCGTGGGCCCCGCATGCAACTTCCCCGCCAGCGTTCCGCGCCACGGCGGCAGGCTCGTGATCATCAACCTGCAGCCCACCCCCATGGACGCGCGCGCGGAGCTGGTACGTGCGCGCGGGAGTTTGCGCGGGGAGTCGGGGAAAATGGGGGGGGGGGGGAAATGTGGGAGGGGAAATGGGAAAGCGTGAGGAGGACAGGCTGGTGTGATGCGAGGCGTGAAAGCGGGTTGGGGGTGGTTTGGTGTGTGGTGGTGAGGGGATTGAGTCGGAAGGGCGAGAATGGCTGGAAGGGAGAAGGGTCTGTGGCAAGGTGTGTATGAAGCTGCTGCAGCAGTTCGAGCCTCTTGCCATGTATTTACTTGCCCTCTCTCAATGATCCCTGTCCGCGTTGGTTGTTGCGTACCCGTTATTGTATGCTTACTATGTGGGAGGTGATTCGATTCAGCTTGTTTTTGCATACGATTTCTGGTCGTGTCGCTCATGATTTCCTATGGCATGTGGATGTTGTGATGGTCTGATGGCGTGGTGTCACGATGCGTTTGTCTTCCGTTTGCTTTGCATGATCGCATGGTGGCGTCATGGCATGTGCGTGGCCTGTGCACGCCTGTGTGTGGCATGTGCGTGGCATGTGCGTGGCATGTGCATGGCAGGTGATTCGAGGTCAATGCGACAAGGTGATGCACATGTTGCTGCTGGAGCTGCGTCTCACGCCCCTCCTGCACTCCCTGCGCCGCACGCACGCCCCACCCCCACCTCATCCGCAACCCCTAAGCCCCTCCAAGTCCCACCTCAAGCCCGAGACAAAACCACCAGCAGCAGCAGCTGCGGCGGCTTCTTCTCAATCTCACCCGCTTTCTCCCACTGCACGATCCGTTGGTAGTGGCAAGGCAACGGGGGGACAGGGAGAAGTGGGAAAGGACGGGAAGAAACGGACGAAGGAGGCGAGTGGGGGTGATGGGAAGGGCAAAGCCGGAAAGGGCAAGCGGGGCAAGGAGATAAGTCTTAGCTTGGAGTGGCCGAGTGTGGGGCCTGTTAGTGGTTCAGTGCCCAGGCGTGGGAGAGAGACAGACGGCCGTGCTGGTAGTGGTGGTAAGTCTGCTCCTGCTGGTGGTGGTGCGTGCGTTAGAGGGGCTGACAAGGACGCGTGTTGCGGGGATGAGCGAAGGATGGAGGAAGCTTGTAAGGAGGACAAGGGCGTTGGCGGTGTGGAAGGTGAGAGTAGCGTGCAGCCGTGCGGGGAGGAGGAGAAGGAGGCGGAGGAGATGGAGAAGGAGAAAGTGAAGGAGAAGGAGAAGGAGAAGGAGAAGGAGAAGAAGGAGGAGGAGGAGGAGGAGGAGGAGGAGGAGCAGGAGAAGAAGAAGGAGGAGGAGGAGCAGGAGAAGAAGGAGAAGGAGGAGGAGGAGCAGGAGAATGAGAAGGAGGAAGAGGAGCAGGAGAAGGAGAAGGAGAAGACCAAGGAGGAAACAGAGGAGGTGGAGGGGGATAGGGAGAAGGGCAGGAAAAGGGAATCAGAAGGGGAGTGTGCGAGGACGAGTGTGGAAGTTAAGAGTCGAGACGCGGCTGACCGGGAATCTAGGCTTGCTGCTGTAGGAGGGACCGTGGATATGGATGTCGGTGCTGCTGCTGCTGCTGCAACGGTTGTCGCTGATGCTGATTCTGGTGACGCAGGTTGCCGTGTTGCTGCCGCTGCAGGCGCTGAGACAATGGCTGCTGTTGCTGTTCCTGCTGCTGCTGCTGCTGCTGCCGTGGATGCAAGGCGAGGAGCCTGCACGTGGGAGGCTGTGGGCAGTAGCGAGTGCGCTTCTGCTGCGAAGGAGGTCAGTGGAGCGAGAGAAGGCGTGAAGGAAGAGGAGATACGGAGCGCGAGTGTGGATGGCAGCACCCACGTGGTGAGGATCGATGAGGCGAAGAACCATGAGGGTGACAATCACGAAGGTAGCAGCCACGGGGAAGATAGGCACGAAGGAAAGAGTGACAAGGAAAGGCGCGTTGAAGCGAGGAGCGACGAGCGAAGGAGCGTAGATGGTGGTTGCGGCGGTGGCGTTGATTGTTGGAGTGATGGGCAAGTAGCTGGGGCGATGACGAGCAACCAGAGAAGGGATGAGGAGAGGGAAGCCGAGCGGGGAAGGATAAAGGAGATGGGGAGCGGAAATGAGTTGGGGATTGGAAAGGAGACGGGAAGAGGAAAGGAGAAAGAGGCTATGGAGTCAAGGGAAAGGTTAAAAGAGAAGGAGGGCGGAGAGGAGAGGGGAAGGGAGAGGGAGGGAAGGGGAAGGGAGAGGGAGGAGAGGGACAGTGTGAGGGAGAGGGAAAGCGAGAGGGAAAAGAGGAGGGCGTGGGGGGAGGAGAGACGGAGGCACTTAGGTGCATCATTCGGCGTTGAACGAAGTGCGAGTGGCATAGTTTCGATAGGCCTACCATCACTCTCTTCTCCACCCCATCCGCACATCACCTCCAAACCCAGTTCTCCACCTCATGACGAGCCACCCCTTCCTCGCTCCTCCTCGCCTTCACGTGAACAGCATCAGCAGCAGCAGCAGCATCAGTATCAGCAGTACCACCGCCAGCGCTCTCAGCACGTCTCTTCCCCCCCGAACCAACCTTCCCCGTTCTCGTCTCCGCCCCTCGCCCCATCTCGTCCCTCCACGCACTCCCCTCCTCCGCCGCACCCGCTCTCTCCAACGGGCCCTCGGGCCAACGGTCTCCCCCCCAAGCTACCATCCGTGCCATCTACGCGCCGTCCCACTCTCTTTTCCCCTCCTCACCTACCCTTCGTTTCTCCGTCCCGAGGGGGGTTTTCATCCGTCTCACACATCTCCCCCTCCCACTTCTCCTCACCCGTCGGTAGGGCAGGACTCGCATCGTTCCCTGAACCTGGGTCGTTCTCTCGCCATTCCCCGCACCATCCCCATCCGCATGGCCATACCCATGCCCATCCCAATCCCCATGCTCATCCGCTCCTGGCCTACCCCCTCTCTCTGCACTCTCCGTGCCATGCGTCCTTCTCGCCTCTGTTGCCCTACTACCCTCTGCACCTCCCCCACTTCCCTCCGTTTGGCCCTGCGTTTTCTGCGGGTCGGCGGGGGTTTGCGCCGGGGCGTGCTGGTGGTGGTGGGCGTGCATCAGCATCTCCCCGCCATGCCTACCACCAGCACCTGCAGCAGCGCGTGCATCTGCAGCAGGGGATTCAACATCAGCATCAGCACCAGCAGCCGCATCAGCATCCGCTACAGCACCACCTCCCGCCCAATCGCCGGCATTATTCCCATTCGTCCCATCGATCTCCCCTCCGTCGCTTGCACTCGCCTCTTCGCTCGCCACTGCACTCTCCCGCATCGTGCAACGAACAGCAACAGCAGCAGCAGCTGCTGCAGCAGCAGCAGCAGCAGCAGTTGTCGAAGCAGCACCTGCAGGCGTCACAGGGGTCTCAGTCCCCGTCCCGCTCTCTGCCGTTTACCTCTTCGCCTCGCTCCAGATCCCCATTCATGGATATCACGGTAGCTGCTGGGGCTGAGGAGCATGCACGGTCAGCTGGTGACAGGCATGGGCTTTTGCACGAGCAGGTGCTAAAAGAGCGACACGGGGAGAGGGAGAGGGAGAAGGAGAAGGAAAGGGAGAGGGAGAAGGAAAGGGAGAGGGAGAGGGAGAGGGAGAGAGAAAGGGAGAGGGAGAGGAGCAGGATGAGAGATGGGTACAGTTCTGTAGAGAGGGATCTGCATGGGCGCAGGGAACATCATCAACATGAGCATGCGGACAGCCACAGCAGCAGGCACGGCAGTGGGATTGAGCAGAGGCATCTGGTGCATGGGCGTGGCGAGAGTGGGCCTGTGCCTGTGCATGAGCCTGCGCATGGAAATGGGCATGAGAGGAGGGATGAGGCATGGGATAAAAGGTCAGGAGAGCGCGTTGGTTGGCAGGATGATCTGCAGAGGGGATTTGATGAGGCACGGGGGGCCAGGGGTGATGTAGAGGAGCAGAAGCAGGTGGGTTGTCGTGGGGGGATGGAGCAGTGTACAGAGCAGTCAAAAGTCATTGACAGCTCTCCAGAGGGTCTGATTGCTTGGGAGAGGAGTGATGTCGTTGAGAGGGATTGTCAGAAGAAGTTGAGAGTGGATGGCATGGATCGCCCTGGTTCTAGGAGCGATGGGGAGCTAATATGGGGGTGTGATTCCCTTCCCATTCATGAGCAGCCTGCCAAGTGTGTGCGTGCCTCCTCTCCGGTCAGCCCAACTGCCAGCATTGCGTTTCTCTTTGCAGGGTCTTCCACTTGCCTTCCTCAGTTGGTTTCAGGGAAAAGGTCTGCTCGGAAGCGGAGAGAGCGGTGGTGATGAGATTAACATGCTTGCTTGTTTGTAAAAATTGAGTCCGAATTATGTACATTACGTATGACTAAATAGTAGCTCTCATTGCGTTTGAATTTCGTGAGATTGCAGTAACGCGTGAAGTGAATGTCCAAGGTGGTACCTTTAGACCCCCTTCCTGACTGGTGGTTGATGATTTTCTATCCACACGATCTTCGATCCACGTCAGCATGTCCCAGGAATCTCAGATCTGGTGTATCAAGACCATTCTCTCCCGGTAAAAGCACCAAACTTGATCGATTTTTATGTTGCTGAGAAAAACATCTCACCTTTTGATGTTATTATGTCGGGAAGAACACCTAAAAAAGAAGCCGTCGTGATTGTATCAGAATCTTCTGATTTTCCGGAAACTTCAGGTATAGCATATTCTTCCAACATAAAGTCCGCTGGAGATAAGAAGCATTCTATTGCCACTGGAAATCCGTTGCCATATTAGTCTGATTTGGTGGAGCTCCTTCACTGCCTGCACCACTCAGGCACACCCAGCGAGAGAGCTCCACCAAGCGCCTCTCTCGCTCTTCATTTGCCTTAAAGTGCCTTATCTTGCTCCTCCCTTTTCGGCCAATTCGAAATGGCCACTGCTCGTTGCTGTGCTGTAGCCTCCGCTCTTTCGAGCGCTAGTCTGACCAGGACTGCTCTCTCCAGTCGCTGCTCGCAATGCCGGCCCGTGGCGGTCGCGAGGCGGTCGTTCACCGGCGTGCGATGCGCCGCTGCCACTGAGGCGAGCAGCAGCAGCAGCGCCACGAGGCCAATTTGGCTCCCAGGCAGCACGGCTCCGGCTTATCTCGACGGCTCGTACGTTCAGTAGCATTCCGCTCCTTCCGCCTTTTATTACCTCCCACGTGTTCGCTTCATCATGACTCTGGCTTAGTCGGTCAGGAACACGGAAATCTCTGCGGAAAAATAACATCGCCGCTTCCTGCAGGTCGTCTGGCATTGCTCGCATCTGCCCAGAACACCTGAGCATATGTGCTTTCGAATAAAATAAAAAATTACAAATTAACTAATTTGACGCCACTTTTCACACTTAACTGCTTCACGACCGGCCGCGTCACGCATGCAAGCAACCACACCACTGCCGAGCCATTGACTACCTATGCTAACCACGCTACGACTGATCTCCTGTCCCCGCGCCACCAGGCTTCCCGGCGACAACGGGTTCGACCCGCTGGGACTGGCGGAGGACGCGGAGGCTCTGCGGTGGTACGTGCAGGCGGAGCTGGTGCACTGCCGCTGGGCCATGCTGGGCGTCGCTGGCGTGCTCGGCACTGATGTGAGCGCGGGCAGGGGGGCAAGGGGGAGGCGGAAGGAAGGAGTAGGGAAAATGGAACGGAGGGGTGAAAGACAGGGGCAAGGGAGGTTGGGGAGGGGGAAAGGGGGGAAAGGGATGTTTGGGAATGGTGGGGTAGCCTGAACATTTCGGAGGGATGTCGAGAGGGAGGCCTGGACATTTTGAATGAAACGCTCTTCCTTGATGGGAAAACGCGCTTCTCGTATGAGTTCTGATAGATGAACGGATGGATACTTCCGCCACGACCATGTCCCATCCCGCCGCGCTTCGCCATGCTTCCCTCCCTCGTCTCCACATTCCGCTCCTCCTCTCGTAATCCCCACTCGTGCTACTTCTCCCATCCTCCCGCCTGCTCCGCGCACCGTCCCCCTGGATGCATGTGCGCAGCTGCTGACCACTCTGGGCCTTGCGGACCTCCCCGTGTGGTACGAGGCGGGTACGGCGCACTACGACATCGCCAACGCGCCCACTCTCTTCGCCGTGCAATTCATCCTCTTCAAGTATGTCGCTGTCTCTGTACAACAGCGCTCGGTTCCGCATAGTTCCGCGTAACTCCGTATGCCTCCACTTTTGCGTGTCCCAGCCGTTTGTCTTTCCGCTCCCAATTTGTTTTATCCCCGTCGTCATTCGTCCGGTTCCTCCTCCCCGCCGCCTCTCTTCCCCGCTTCACCGCTCCGCTTGCTCCCCACATCACCCTCCCGCATCTCCTCCCGGCTTTCTTCCCCCATCTCCCTTCCCGCTCCATCTGTCGCTCGCCAGCTTTGTGGAGCTGAAGCGGTGGGCGGACTTCAAGGCGCCGGGGTCGCAGGGGCAGGACGAGGCGTGGTTCCTGGGCATTCAGCCCGCCTTCCTGGGCACGGACAACGGGTGCGTGGGGCGACACAGGGGTGGGGGTGGGGATCTCTTGGGTTGCTGAATGCATGCAGGTTTGCTGAACGGGACGGAGGGGAGAGCGGGGGATTGGTGGGAGCGTGTGGCGTTATGAGGGACGAGTGGGGTGAGAAGTGCTGGAATGAGATTGGATGTCATTGAGAGTGGTTGATGTCCATGGACCATGATGGTTCCATGCACTACTTCCATGCATCATCTGCAGTGCTTTATCCCTCACGGAGGATCCGTTCCTTCCCAGCGTAATCAGAATTTCTTGAAGGTTTGTGCTGAATCTCATGACCCAAATCATCTCTTGCTGCCTCTGTATCTCTCTGTTCCTCCAGCTACCCCGGCGGTCCCCTCTTCAACCCATTTGGCTTGGCAGCTGATGCAGTGACAGGGCACAAGGCACGTGAGCAGGAGCTGGCAAATGGTGAGGTCTCTTCAGATATCCGTTGCGCTTGCATCTCGTTTTTGCTGGTTTTGTCTCTGCATCCTCATTGCAACTGTCATAACCAATATACTTGCTGCTTCTGTGTCCATGACTGCTTGCAGGGCGTTTGGCGATGCTGGCTTCTGTCGGTTTTGCAGTCCAGGCAGGCTTTACCCATGCAGGACCTACCGCCAATCTTCTGCAGCATCTGAGCGACCCATGGAACACCACAATTATCCAAACCTTCTTCGGATAGAAGTTTGATTATTTGCCGTGTCCGCAATTGAACTATATCGTCTCGTGCCTCCCATCTCAAGGTGATGTAATTCATGAAACTGATACCGTATGTGCACACTGATTCAAGGCTAAGACTTTTAAAGCACTTTCTGTTATGTGAAGTTGAGATACAGTTCTGGTTAGTCTGATGTTTATAATTGTATTGTAATGTACAGTGTAAGGGTGTGTGGCATAGTATATCTATCCCTGAAATTTGAATTCTTCCTAGCTCGTTTACCAATTGTCCATTCGAGGTTGTCGAGGTGTCATTCTCGAAAAGGACGTCCCCGCGCCGCTTCATGGCAACATCAGAAGGACCTCACTGGTCAATTGAGATTGATAGCTGGGCCTTGGGATCCACCTCGGTTGTACCACCCATGGGACATCCCCGAGGGATGACAGTAGCTTCGACCAGCAGTGTGCGGTCGCTTCAATCAGCCTCAAAACAGAGTTACAGACACACAGTCGTCACAATTTATTCTTCCAGATTCAGCAGCGCGAGCGTCGAGGACGGCCTTTCACCCGGAGGTGGTGAGACCCTTTTCAGCAACTTGACGGGCGGGTCCATCACAGGCCATTGACTCGAAAGTCTGTGTTTATATTCCGTCATGACAAACGAGAACAGTGGCATCCTCAATTGCTGGAAGTTCGCCTTACGAGCCATGCTTACGGGGTTTGGAGGAAATCGGGGCTCCGGTCCTCATTCTTCCTCTGATCATGTTCAGGCAGGGCCGTCGGGAGCAGAGGTAGACCCCACTTTAAGCCCTCCGTCTACTTCTGGTTCGGAAGTGGTTCACGCAATTAAGTCTGGTCCATCTACAAGAGCAACAACTGTTACCTTCAAGAATGCGACAGCTGTTACTATCCAGGCGTTCTGGGTTGATTACGACGGCAAGGAGGTAAGATTGGTCAAGCTGCCAGTATAGTCTCTGTTTTTGCATTGGTGATAACCTCTTCTGTGCTAACTACTCTAGTGTGTTCTTGTATATGCAGGTGGCTTACGAAAAGATAAAGCCAGGACAGACGTACCGACAGCGTACCTTCGTGTTGCACCCGTGGGCCTTCCGTGAATGCGCTTCAAATGAGCCTCTCGTGGTCGGGAAGAAGCTGGTATGCAGTTGCTCAATACACTTGCATGGTAGAGACACTCGCACACGTGTACATCCTTTCTGATCCTTCCCCGTGGTGTATTCCTTGCAGGTCGCACTCCCTGAAGACGCTGAAGAGAGTGAAATGGTGATTGTCAGGCCAGGATCTATCAGATGGAGCCCAGAATCCCACAATCGCTTTCCGGAAGATTACAGGGAAAGCGTGAAGGCCTTGCTACTTTCCTACCGGTGGTGCCATGTCAAATCGGAATATCCGGTAAGATAGTAGAGTTTCGTTATTTCTTTCTTGCTGCTCGAACGTTGGTGCTACAGAATTTCACAAAAACTGGACAAGCCACAAAAGCGTTGGTGCTGAAAACGTTGTTTTTAACTCTATTTCAGGAGAATCCCTGGACCCAAGACCGCCTGGGCTTGCACATGTCTGAGCTTCCTCTGGACCTAATTCACACGCTTGTTGAGATGGCCGCGCCTGATGTTCTTGACATAGACTACTGAAGATGAGCTGCAATAGTACTACCTTATTGGATGCCAGACTATTATCATTTAACTAGTAGTGCCACCAACTATGGCTTGTGGTAGTTGATTTATCCATTTCCAATAGTATTGTGACTGCTGTATCTTTTCATTAACAGAGCCTAGCACATCCACGTTTTTATTCCACGTTTTTGTAGACCCTGTGCAGGGCCCTCGCTATCAGACATTTTTGTCTGTTTTTCTGAAATATCAGACGTTTTTTTTTAGGCTACCGGTAATCTGATTTCTAAGAAATGCCTTGGTTGTGAAACCTGATGCATCAGACATGAAGTTTCCATTTTGTCTGATGAAAAAGAGACCTGAGTGTAGCTATTCCTCTGATATTTCAGGCACTTGTATAAGTTCCGTCTGATACTGAATCATGTACAGTCTTCCGTGATTGACGCATGTTTCCTGTCACATGCGTAAATCACGGTACGTTATGTACATCATGCAGCGTGCGAGTCATGAGGCGCAGCGGAGCACACCGCCAGCAGATTTGACGTGGTAAACTGGTGCACATTGTGCGCAACGTGCCCACTTTTGGACGATTGTGTTGCATCTCTCCCTGCTAATGGTCAATAGCACAGCCAGCACACAAGAATAGTGGATAGCAGCGCCTCGCGCGAATCGCACCGACGGTGGTCCAACGTCACGCTGGACGAGGGTTGGATTGGGGCACCGCGGTGCGTTGCAGCCTCATGCATGCATCAGCTTCAACTGAAAAGCTCGGCTGGCTCCACCTCCTGCCAGCTGCACCTGCTGTCGCGCCCCTGCCGCGCCCCTGCCATGCGCCTGCTGCGCGCCTGCCGCGCCTGCTGCGCGCCTGCCGCGCCCCCCAGTCGCGCCCTGCCGTCGCGCCTGACGCCCCGCCTGCAACAAGCCTGCTGAGCCTGTTGGCCACGCTTGCAGCTGCACCTGCCAGCTGCACCTGCTGCCGTGCCTGCAGCTGCCAGCTGCGCCTGCTGCCGTACATGCCGTGCACCTGCCGTCGCCTCTGCGTCTGCAGCCACGACTTTAGGTTTAGCTCTGCCTGACTGCCTCTGACTGTCTTCTCCTCCGCCTGTGGCTGTCCCCTCTCATCTGCTGCAGGTGTGCCATTGCTCACTCCTGTCATGACGGCTGATTTCGTACCGTGGCCCGGTGCGGAGGGGCGGGCGATTGACTCTGACGCATGGCTGCTCGATGCTCAGCTCCACCTATAGAGTCAGCGGTAGGTCGGAGTCCACATGTACGCCCACGTGTCGAGTGAGATACGCGCCCCCCGACGTCCTCCCGCCCTTACTGCTGAGTCCAACTCGGAGGAGCGAGAGGCTCACCTCGTGGCCCAGCTTACGTACTCGGTTTGGATGTCGGGTGACGCACGCGCCTTGCTCTCATTCGCCTCTCACCGCTGGTCGAGCGAGTGTACTTTAGCCATTTCGCGGCGGCGAAGGAGTGCCTGGATGGTGTTGTTGTCCACTACTCCACCCCCTGCTACTCTGGGGCGCCTTCGCATGCCTCCCACTTCCCCGATCTCCCAGCTTTCCCCATTGTCCCTGGCCTCATTACCCACTTGCACTCTCTTGATGCTAACTTCCGTGACGTAAGCACTACTGAACACCTTGCCACACAACCACCCCCCACCCATGTACCCATGTATCTCACCCTGCACTTTCTATCAACCTACCTCCCAGACCGCCTCGCAACTGCCCACGACGCCCCCCTTGCCATGCACACCATGGACCTTTACTATCATTTTCTTTGAGACTCATCTCACTGAGATCGAGACCCGCCATCGCACCATCGCCGCCACCACTACCGCAGTAGTCCCCCCCATCTTTCTGGGGTGAGCTCCGCCCCACCTCCCTACCTCAGTTGCCTCTGCTGCCGTTGCTAAGCCTTCTTTAATGGGGGAGGCCTCAGTTGTCTCTGTCCTCTCTGGTGGGTGGTCGCGGAGGAGGTGGACGTGCTGGTACGCGGGGTGCTGATGCAGGGAGTGCTGGTTCTGGGAGTAATGTCGTAGGAGGTTCTGGTACTGAGGGTGTGACGGTGACTCAGCAGCAGCAGCAGGAGGATCATCAGCCGTAGCACTAGCAGTAGCAACTACTCTAGCAGTGGGTCTTGCAGCTCTAGTAGGGACCTGCTGGTGCGAGGAGCGATGGTTGCAGTAGATGCTATGACAGCTGGGTGTGGCCTCCCTATCGGGCCCTGCCAGTCTAGATTCAATCTTGCCTATTGCGTGGCACCGTCTGCGGGAGCACTGGTCACTCCACTCTGCGCGACTTCCCACTTTGGGCCTACAACGTCTCCCCCGAATAGGCCAGCGCTGTTGGGCAGGGGTTTGCCTGTGTTTGACCTTGATATGTCTCAAATATGATCATTTTTGTTTGCCATATATGTTGATGATCTTAGTGTTGCTATATCATATTATTATCGTCTGATGGGACTAGGTTCTCTAGCTCTTTTGTAGCGTAGGATCATCTGCTGCTTCCCGCCCAGGTGCCTCCACTGCCGATGCGTCCCTCTCCTTCACGTTGGACTTTGGCGCTTCCAAGTGCTTCTTCCACGGTTGCACCACCCTCTCGCCGCTTCCATCTCCTGTCGCAGTCTTCCTCCCCGACCCCTCCTCTGGACTAGGTGTCGCACACAGCGTTACTGCACACCCATATCCGGCAATCACCTCTGGCTCCCTCACAGGTCTGCACGCCCCCTCTTTTTTCCAGGATCTTGGAGGGTGTCGATCGTCGTCAGGACCTCAGTGTCACCTCTACATTTTCTAGGTACGAGCGGTTCGAGACTTGTACCGATGCTACCACTGGGGCACGTCTTGCCACGTTTCCCAGGGACCCTGCGTCAGGTATTCTCACACTGCACAATGCGTCAGCCCAAGTTCTGGTCAAGAAGTGGCGCCATGCTCGTATCGGTCGCTCACTCACCCGTCGCTCCTGTGGCACCGCCGTCTATGTCACCCTGCCATCCCGCATCTCCATCACATGGCTCAGCACTGTCTTATCTCTAGCCTCCCGTCATTGCTGGCTAACGTTCTTGCTCACAGAATTAGGTGAGCAACCTCGCTATGCCTTGGTCCGATTCGCCGATAACAGATCCATGATCCTCCTGTGTCGGGAGCCTAGGCCCGAGGGCAGAGCGACGCATATTCAGCTGCAGTACTTTCGACTGTGTTAGTTGCAGCAACGCGTGGTACAATTGGCCTCAGGGGCACTCTAAAGGCACTCTAGCCTCGTGATCATGACCGTCTCTGCACACATCTTGGTCTTGTCCTAGCAGGTCCTCACTTGGTAGTTCCTTGATTTCTGTACTTGTATTGTACTCATTGACTGACCTTGTGTCCATTTGTCTTAGGGGTTAAAGTAGTATTACCGCACTGAGTTGTACACCTGGTTGTTCTTGCTGACTCGTTTTGTGGCCTCTTGTCTCAGAGGCTGGTCTAGTTGTGCGGCCCAGACTTGTTCCTCTTTATCTTGGCACTGCCCTTTAGCTAGCCTAAAAGGGGTGTCAAAGTACACATATATGGTTTTGTATGTGAACTTATAGGCTAGTACAAGTTTGCGTATCATTTTGTACCTCCTTATGCAAGTCATTCATAATCATTTCAGATAGGTGGTGCACCCCTTGCCATAATATGTGCTTGTATTTCATGTTCCTTTGGCCCTTCTAATCGACCTCTTTCATCTCGTTACTTTCCTAGCACCACTTAAAACACGCAGGCCAAGAAAGCCCAAATTGGTTCAACCTTCCTCACTTCGGTTGGGTGTGACCCTGGCACCCAAAAACTTGGCCAATTGTATCTGCCGTCCCAACCAACCTTCCTAACGTTGAACTTCTTGGCCCACGGGTTTTAAGCCTCAACCCTATTATAACATAATATCGTAGCATGTTTTGTTTTTAATGGTTGCCTTCAGTGTCATTCAAGCCGTCACCTGCTGATGCCGCGATCGTTCGCTCCTGCACACGTGATCCGTCACGCTCCAACCATGGCCCCGTCGCGGCCTAATCATCACCGGCCCACGCCCTACCATCTCGCCCCCGTCGCACCCCGTCGCGACCCTCGTCGCGACCCCTTCGTCGGCACCCATTGCGGCCCCCGTTGTGCCCCCGTTGCCGGTGTGAATGTAGGGGAAGGAGACGAGGGTGGCGACCGGGCTGCTGGCCCCTACCGCATCTGCCATGCCTCCTGGCGCGCCCTTCGCATGCCCTGCCGCGGATGCCGCTGTGGAGGGGGGAGGAGGGGGGCTGAACCTGCTGCGGCTGCCGCTTTGGCAGAGAGGTGGTGGGGTGTGGCAGCGGTGAGCCTGCAGCACCAGCCGCCGCTCTCTCCCTTCATGTCCGCCGCTCAACTCTCCTCCTCCTGACCTCCCTCTCTCCCTTCCTGGTCGACACTTTCTCCTCCTCTCATCCCTCCTCGTCTCCAGCTGCTAAGCAGCTGCTACCGATGCATGCTGCAGGCGCCGCAGCAATTTCCACGACCGCACCTGGTGTTGCTTCATCTGCAGTCGCTGAGCACCTGCAGTCGCTGAGCACCTGCCGCCGCTGCATCCGCCACCGTTGCACCTGCCGCCACTGTACTTGCATGCCACTACTTCTTCCGCTGCGCCTCTCTCCTTGTCACTCGGGCCCCTTCACGGGGTGTTTCTTGCACATGTTTTTGCTGCAGGCAGTTAAGTGGGTGTGTCAAACATTGTGATTCTATATAACAGCCTGTTCCATTACTGCAATGTAGATCTCTTATTGGTGGTGCACCCCTTGCCCTAATCCTTGCTTGTAATTGTTTTTGCCTTTGGCCCTTCTAGTCAACCTCACTCATATCCTAACTTTCCTAGGACGTTGGAAGCCTCAACCATACTTATTAGTTTCCACTGCTTCTTTATGGCCATATACAGGAATGTGCTTACGCATGTAAATACTATAGTGATACGGATTGAATGACGTTTCTTTAGTATAGATAAATTTTATCCAACATATCCAGTTTGATTGATATCTTGTATGACTGTTTTTATCAGAGTAATTACTCTGATTACTCTGTGATTTCAGAGAGCTAAACCTCCAGAAACTGAATTTTCCGAACTTGTCATTTTTGAACACTCATCCATTCAGAGTTACTGAATCTATGTATACCGACTCATACTAGTGCTATGTCGAACTCTGACTCTACAAAGTACGATACCTGTGGTCCCTGTATGAGACATTATCGGGGCGAAGGTTCCAGGAAAATTTCTCCCGATATACACCTCCGAGGTAGCAGCGGAATGCCAGAACGTGAGAAAAGCATGCTGGCCAACTTGGGGACACCTGAAAACACACAAGATTCGCTAACATCACGCACGTTAGATTGTTTATTTATATGGGTGACCTTTGAAACTTGAAATTAGTATGAGCCAAGAAGCGATATTACGCAGATCACTCAACGATTTGGTGAAGTTCACAGTGGTCGGGTGGGAGAGACAATAACACAACTTGTAAAGAGTCGCAATCTGGTGCAGATTTCGTGTATTTTCTCCGCGCTAAAATGTGTGAATTTTTCAAAACTAATATTGCGGGGAGAAGATGTTGTCGCACAGAAGGTGTAGGTGGGTTGAAAATCTCTTCTGCCAGGTTCTCGCGCGTTAACTGCTGCCAGCTCAGCTACATGGCAGCTCGCCCGCTCCAAGTCACTCCACATCGCGCCACATGCATCTTTCCTTTTACGTGTACTGTACAGAGCGCGGGGTGCATCAAGCTGTTTTGCATGATCGAGATCCCAAGCGATCATTGCTATACTGTTTTTGTCTGATGTGCACAGTGATTACTGTACACCTTGTGCACCACGACCCCAGAGGGTCTCAAAAAGTCAAGTCACCCACCTACCAAATAGCCTTCGATCACGCTATATCCCACAGCCTGTGATCCAC